CTTTCACCCACATAGAAAAAAAATTGGTTGAATTAACTAAATATCTGGTGAAATATAAACAAACCAGAAATCCCGATTGAAATTATTACAATTCTGTTCAAGCTAACAAGATCTTCTGGTTAACCAGAACTTACAACTGTTCAAGTTATCCAAAAATCTTGTTAACTTGAGTAGAACTCTGGTGATTTCAATTGGAATTTTTACCAGATATTTGGTTCATCCAACCGAACCTTACTTTCCGTGCACTTTGCTATAGAGTTACGACATTGAAAACGTACTGTTAATATCGTGTAACGCAACGAGTTATTATAATATTTTAAAGATAATACACACAGTGTGTATATTATCTAATAATATTATACAAGAGAGAGAGAGAGAGAGAGAGAGAGAGAGAGAGAGAGAGAGAGAGACACGACAGGAGGAGGGAGAGAGAAAGAGCGAGAGTGCACGAAGCTCGCGTCCGGAATTAATCCCGTAGCTAGTAGGAGGAAACGAGGCGCGCTCCTCGTCAAAGTGTCGTCGTTATCAACGTCCTGCTCGTTCCTCGGTTGACGGGTCGTAAATCGCGTATCGACGGGTCGCGCGCCAGCACGAAAAAAGGCGATACGAACGAGTTGGCAAAAAAAAAAAGAGAGAGAGAGAGAGAGAGAAATTGATGGAGCAGCGAAACGGGGGCTCGCCGGATACTTGGAAAATGGGCGAATCGGGATCGAGTTTGGAGAATCACGCCGAGGTGGCGATGGGACCCGCGACGTTATTCGCGGCGCGGGGAGGAACGGTCGAGGATTTGTCGGAAAGAAAATAAACGAAAAGTAAAGAGTGTAATAATGCGCGTAATAAGGAATATTAATAAAATTAAAGTAGGAGCATATACTCGCATCGCCGTGATACATTTCAATTTGCCGCTTCTTCGTTACAGTAACTGTCAATGCGAAAATTTAAGTAATCACATAAAAGAAGTTACACCAGTCGAATTTCTCGATTTTAAAATATGTTATAAAAAGTAATATTTTCTAGACGTGTAAAACCTTTTCCTTATAACGAATCAAGCGACAAGTTCATGGCAGACTCTATCGCGGAAAGGAAGGATTCATATAGCACCAAGGATCGATCGTGTCATTGAAGCGGAAGTTAGAAACGGAAAGGCCGGAAGGAAAAGAGAGGTGAAGCGAGGGAGAGAGAGAGAGAGAGAGAAAGAGAGAGAAATAGCGATGGGTTGCGTGCCGGCCGCGATTTCTAGGAAAATGAACGCCGTAAATAAAGCCGGCCGGCCAATAATTCCGTCGCGATCGAGCGACGAGAGTTTTTCATCGGGCTGCGCGAGAAACAGCGGCTTGCATGGCAGAAAGCGGTGAGAAGAGATCGTGGGATGAGGGAAAGAAGGGGAAAGGAGGGACAAGAAGGACGACACGAGAGAAAGCAGGAAACGCAACGAAAAACAGGGACAGTGGTCGGCGGAGATGGAGAGTAAGAGGAGGAGAAGAAGAGGTGTGAGAGGAGCGAGAGAGGGGAGCGAGCGACACACACATACACACAAGCTCGGGCAGTTTGTAATCAAATTTAAAATTCCCAGCGCGGAGGAGACCGATGAAAGAGTAACCAACGGACGCGATCGAAATGGTCCACGGGTCGTCCACGAGCGCGTCACGTGACGTCGAATAAACGGACGGTATCCGCCGCTCTCTCTCCGCCGTTCACAATGCGGATTTCTCCGACCACCCCTCAAGTCACCCTTTTCGCGCGACTTCCTCCTGTGTACCACTTCTCTCCCTCCCTCCCTTGCCAACCGGTCGGTCTCGGATTTCCCTGGGGGGCGGTGGGTGCCGATGGGGGCCGCGTAAAAAAGTCCGTGGAAGTATTATCCTACGTGGCGAGGGGCTTAGCATGGTCGAAAGACCCCATTAGAAATACGCACGGGGATTGAAGCCGGTGTGATGTCGATAAGTCTCAGATTTTGACATTACGACGCTGTGACGCATTAAAAGAAGATCAGTCGGAATGACTCGAATTGAGACCAATGACAGTATGTCATTGAAGAGCATGAGCGATGGAACTTAAGTAGTAAGTGAATCGACAAGTCATATTTGAGAATATAAGATTACCATGTTGAAATTCTCAACTGTAATTGATCGATTCGTTTATTGCTTAAATTTTATCGCTTACATTTTACTACTTACTATATTTCAAACAGCACAAGATCTCCAGAGAATATCCTTAGGACATTCTTAGGGTGTAGGAATGTCCAGAACGTTTTTTGAATGCCCTTCGGAGATTTGTACTGTTTTGAGATGCTGTGGTTTTTAAATGAATAAATCAATAAATGAGAATTGTACTTCTTTAGGAATTCGTGGAAGAATACTATAAAAATGATTTAGAAAGTTACGTGCACCATAATTGGAGCTCAGAACTTCTTAGAATATTCACATAAAGTTATACTATATGAATCTACTCAAGGAACACAAAACAGTCAAGAAAAAGTCAAAATGACTTTACTTTGATTGAATAGTCATGCAATTTTCGCGTGACAAAAAATTGATTCTACCAAACAAATTGATATACAAACGGGTGTGCAGATGCTTTTAAATATCTGCGTATAATACTTTCTTTTTTGCACATGACCAGTATTTAGAATAAATGTTTATATCTTTAGTCATATTTTTTTATAAAATAATATTAGACGTCTAAAATAACAAAATGCATGAAAAAATGATTCTACCGGTTTTACATTGGTTGTATCGTAGAATGACATGTCGCAAGAAATTGACCAATCATAGTAAATTATTATTATTATTATTATAAATTATTATTATTTGACTAGCATTTCTTGTGATACTACGATATGACCAATACAGAATTGGCCAAAAATGTAACAAACAAAAACGAATATATTTCTTTATTTCATTAGTTTTTTTGTGTCATAATAATTTTCGATAATTGGCTGAATGATAGCATGTGTATTGTGGTAACTAAATGCCTACATAAATATAAAGAGAATGTCGTGTAACCTACTAAATATTTTATACATATACTTATATATTAAAACGCGATATATATAATGTTTAATGTATATGTTATAATTATATAATGTTTAACACGTATGTTATATAATATTTATAATAAATTTGTGATATTTAAAAAACTCTATGTCATAGTGCAGAAAAAACTTTTTACTGGATTCTTATACTACTAATAAGACGTTTTCTTGACGTCAATAAATCGTCAAATTTTGTAACCAAAAATCATCATTTTGCCGTAATTTTTACATTATGCTTTTATAATGGTAGAAAAGTCAAAATGACGATTTTTTGTTACATCGGTCTATCGCAGCCATAAGAAATAATTGTAACAAACAAAACATTTGCAATTCCTCACAAATTCTCAGAGTGTTCTTGGAATTAAGTCGCGAAGTATTCGCTATTATGAACTTCTATGAAGAATACTTCAAGACGAACTTATTGTGGTTACTTTTTCACAAATTCTACAGACATTCATTTTTCTAATTATCTATGTATTATTTAAAATAAATTCTTTAGGAACTACTGTTCTCATCTCTGTGCTATCTGGGATGTACATTTATGGGAATTGGAATGACTCCAAAACAGTCTAAATAATTTAACAAACAATATATATTTAATAAACTTGAAATACAAGATGGCGGGTTTGCTTGGCGATATGCTTTATATATCACTAAGCTTGTAACTATTGCAGTTGTTAAACTGCTTCTTCCGATATCTTCGGTTCGCAGCTCCGCTTCTATGCATGTCCTGTCGGTAAGAACATGTGGATAACTTTCTTATCTGTGAACGATAGTACAACCATAGACATATATACGAGACTGCGTGGTCTGTGCAGAAAAGTGAAGATGGAAGGACAGATATATTCGTCCACTGAAGTGCGTTCTTTATTTAATCGTGTAGTTGGTGGGTAGAAGGAAAGAGGAGAAGTGCTAGGGTGGAACCTGATTGACCACGGTACGATTGAACACAGACTGTAATGATTGGTTCGACATGGTAATTCACTAGATAATTCTTTGCATCGGTTGGTTGTGTCCAATCATACTGTGGTCAATTGGGACGCTCTCCTCTGTATACATGCGCGAGTCATATCTTGCCAAAATATATCATTGCCCTGGCCTAAGGGCCGTGGCACACAGAAAAACTTAAGCAGTAAGCAAATTGACTAATCACAGTCGTTGATTCTTGGACCGTAAGAAGAATCAGTGACTGTGATTGGTCAATTTGCTTACTGCTTAAGTTTTTCTATGTGCCACCAGCTTAATATCTCGTCGGTGCCTGTGGTGAGACAAGAACAGATAGTGTTGATTATCTATCTTTATCTAATTAAGGTCAAGAATTGTGGACATTACTTCTTTACCCACTGAGACAATTCGTGCACATTGGCTACATAGTTTATGTGTACGGTTAGAGGCGCTGTAACCATTCAGCTGAAATCGGGATCAGAGACTGGCTAAAACCAGTCCATGACTCTTCTCCTCTCTGCTCGTACCAAATTGATCTGTCAGTATTTACATCGTGCGTATTAAATATTTAGTACGAATTTAATACGAATATAATACCTGATATCCGTATCAAGTGCATGATGTAAACCAGACCATTTTCAGATGATTAATGAATATGGAAATAAACAAAAATGTGTGATTCAACAAGTTACCGTTATATATTTATAAAAGTTAGATTTTTTAATTTTAAATAGTAATATAAAAAAAGAAATCAAATATTGTGTATATAGTATAATAGTATTTCAATTTTTTAATAAAAGAAAAAAGTCAACAAGAGTTATTACACGAGTTAGTGCAAAAACTAAAATTCCTTTTTTTGTTTAACTCTAGGAATAGCAAAATTTACATATGCTCATGAAATATTCCAATTAAAATTTTGTTTATTCTATACAATCTAATTAATAATAATAATTCCTCTTCATGATGGTGTGTGTGTGTGTGTGTGCGTGTGTATGTGTGTGTGAATAATATATAGATTATATATAAAAAAACAGAAATTATTTATTTTAATAATGACCATTTAAGTTGTTCCTTGGCTGATTGTAGTACCTGGAGAAGAAATAGGGGGAAAGAACTCATTAGATATATAAATCAGAGTTACAATTAATAACTTTCAAAATAAAACAAATGAAATAATTGGAATAAATGGTATTACCTGTGCTACTGTTTGTTCCCCAAGTGGAATGTCATCCGTTCGTAATGCTACCCTCTGTACCACACTTGTTGCATCCGCATCCAAAATTATACTGAAAAAATATCCTGTTATATTACTAATATAAATTATCAAAATTTATCAAACAATATTAATTTACCCTCCATCGCAAATCTCATCCATCGCTAACATTACTATGTCTAAGCTGTCCAAAACTGCTCTCTTTTCTACGTTCTTCCGAAGAATTTGACTAACAGAATCATATAAGCAGTTTAGGACACTCATTAAGATCAACTATAACAAATGTACAAATTAAAATACATTGGATCTGTGATTTTTCAGCTATTTAACAGTTATATTTAACAGTGCAAACCTCATTTTCATGTGAGCTGCCCATGACATAGAAAAACAAATCTACATTACTTCTGTAAACACATGTTAAACCATCCAACATAATAATTTCAGCATTAGCTCTGTGTGTTTTGTTGAACAGGTTCTTCTCGAAGGTCTTCTGCTCTTTTGATGTAGGAAAGACATTTTGGTCGTAATATTTCGCTAGGATTCGATTGCCATCATTATCGAGGATCGCCATTCCTTTCACCGTGTACAATGTAGGTTCCTAGAATCATTTTTAATGAACCAAATTAAAGCTACTGTTGCACACATGTATATATTTAACACACAACACGCGGTGCGATGTAAAATATAAATTTTTAATGTTAACAATTGTAAATTTTATTAACATTTTCATTTATATTAAAGATAATTGAAGAAATAAAATAACTTGAACAAAAGAAACATGAAATCAATTTCAAATTGCAAATTTTGTAAATATTTTGATTATATTTGCAAATTTGAATTCAATATTGCATAAACAGGAAATTGTACATGAGTAGGTACAATTATGCTAGAAACAGGTTATGTTGCAAGAAACTTTCGAAAATTTACTATGACTTGTGCTGGGAATACGAAGCAAAATATACCACTATAATTACAAGTAAAAAACAAAACGAATTTTTGTAGAAGTAATAAAAGATTGATATGTTTATTTTAAAAGAATTACCAATAATTGACCATCCATGTTTACGTCAACTTCGACTGATTTTGACGTGTCCAGCAATGCTACCAAACTCTTATAGTGTTTTTCATGGGACAGAACTGAGTGCGCACTAGGAACTCGTGAGGTGCGTTCTTTTATTCGCAATAGATACAACCCGTTGCATCCAATGCCTAATTTAATCGTTCTGTATATCCAGTTGCGCATATCAAGCTGCAGACTGCGTAAATCTTGATCGTTCTTTAATTTAAGTTGCAAGCAGAATCGTGCAACTGCTTGCAACTTTTAGCATCCCAATCCAAGCGGCTGCCGAAAAATTGAAGCCTGAATTTCGAATGTGCAGGAACCTTAAGTACAAAGGGTATATCAGTTGGACACGGGGCAATTGGACATAGTCGCTGTTCCAAGGGACCCTACAAATGTCTCTAATCACACGGTGCTGTGATTGGCTGTGTCCAAATGCACCGTGTCCAAGTACAAATACGGTTCTTTGATGTGCAGAAAGTAATACGTTTCTCAGACAGCATACAATATTTATTAAATATTTATTTCGAATTATTTCTTAAAAATATTATATAAATATAATATAAATATTTTATATACATGAAGAAAAAAGTATCAAAATTTTTATTGAAAATATTATTAAAATACAGACTAAATATTACTTACAGACTTAATATTTTACACAATATTTATAGTAAACGAAAAACAAATATTTGTAGAAATATTTTGTAAATATACCTATTTACAAATATTATATATGAAAAAAATAGATGTAATTATTTAAAATTATTAAATTAATGAAAAAATAAAAAATTCGAATCTCAGCAATGGTAAGCAAATTTTCAAAACACAATTTAAATTCAATTAAGTGGCGTGTAAAACAATAAAGTGGAAATTTTAAGAAAAATTCAGGAAAAGAGAAAAATGTATATAAATGTATATATTTTAATAAATATTTTTATAATATTCATGAGATAAATATTTTTTATTTATTGAATCTAAGGTCACAAAAATATTTTTGTAAATATATTTGTAAATATATTTATGAAACATTTTGGTAAATATACATAAAATATTCAAATAAATCTTATAAATATTTTGTAAATATTTTATTAATACTTTGTGTTGTCTGGGTTAATGGATGAAAAGGATAGAGAATAGTAGTAATTGATGTAATATGTTCAATAAATGTACAAATATGTGTATTAAATATAGTCGAAATATTACAATCCTAACAAAGAAAGACATAACTGCTATATAACATAGAAGTAACAAGAGTACGTGTTACGTCTGTTATATAATAGTTATATTTTGTGTTTGCTGGGATAATTGTAGTAAAAAATATGGAAAAATTAATTTATTAATGAGTTGTAGATGGATACTGCAAATGTGGGAGCTATTGGAGGTTTGTTTGTAATAACAGCATCTGAAATTGACTCTGAGGACTTTTCATCCTCTAATTCAACTGGTCATGTTCCATGTAATCAATTTCAATTAATGACATTTGTTATATTATTTGATATTATTATTAGACTGTCTCTCTCTCACACAATTCTTATAAAGGCAATACTGATATTGATTACTGGCAATACATTACTGATTGGGACCCGACGTTGGATATACGACATCCAATAGCCAATAGGAAAATTTATTTTCTAGGGACAGTACATCACTAGTTAGTAACCTTGAAAAGTGCAATCTTGATGCATCCTTGAGATGGGAAACGTCCCGATTGCCTACAGTACAATTGCATAAAACCAACCGATGTTAAGAATTATTTAATAAATTACCAGATCGAACCAATCATTACAATTTGTGGTCAATTGTACTGTGGGCAATCGGGTCCCTTCCTTTGAAATGCATTCAGCTACATCTGTTGCAAATAAAAGAACGCAACCGTAGAGTGCAAGATGGCATTGCCCGAGTGCACCACTAGGACAAGTTTCTTGCATCTGTCATTGCAGAGAGAAGCCTAATGACTCCTGCACACAGGACGCGGTAATGCTTGCCGCGCGGCAAAAATCCGCGCAACAGCCAATCAATATGCTGCTTTTCACAATACCTTCTAGCTCTTATAGAAAAACAACATATTGATTGGCTGTCGCGCGGATTTCTGTCGCGCGGCAAGCATTATCGTGTCCTGTGCGCAGGAGCCATAAAAATGGCGTCATGTTTTCCGTTCGTGTTAAGAGTGTAAATGCAATTCTGATATACTTTTCACTCTTACTTGGGATCAAGTGTAAAAAGTGTATCAGAATTGCATTTATACTTGTAATATGAACGGAAATCATGACGTTATTTTTACAACCTCTAAAGAATTAATGTGCTCTAAGTGTGAAAGTGTAAAAAGTTCAATTAATGTGAATAAACTTATTGGATATTAGCTATTTTCAGACAGTTCACATCTTCAAAGGACGTCCTAAAAATATTCTGATGACATCCCTCCGTCCTAATTGTGTCTTCAGAACGTATTTTGGAAAATATATTATATGAGATGGACTAGTATGCAACGGGCATTAGGTGTAAATATGTGAATATTACAAGCAACTCGAACAAACCTATAAACACCCATCGTATTTATTTTCTTCACAGTCTAGTGACATCCAGTCACATACAAAGTATATATCAATCGAAACGAAGCATTTCTAAGCTGCGTTCGAAAACGTCACTCGAGTATTCTCCCTCTCTTTTTATCTCACTTTTGTATTTCACTCACTCCAACGGCTATCGTCGAGTAGTGTGCACACAATGTGTGTTTCCGAACGCAGCCCTAATATATTACAAAATCTTGATAGATCTAATAAGCATTGTGTATCTCCTGAGGATCAATCACGAATCTTTTCCTTTAATAGCGTGTTCGACTAGCTCTAGGTTAATCGAGAGCGATTAATGACGTCATAAGTCTCTATTAGCCAATCATAAAGCTTATAAGTACTTGTTCGACCAATAAACGTAGGCTGAATAACCCAGAGTGGGTTAACCCAAAGTCAGTCGAACATTCTATTACGTGAACTCGTGAAAAGTGAACATTTCTATATGCTTTTACATTAAAAATTTTTCACAAATTCACGCTAGGGGAAAAGATTTATGATCCAGCTGCTTTGTATCGAAGATAAATATATAAATTTGTTTTTTTTTTTCGGGACACATTTTGCAGTAGTATACACTAGAGAAATAGCTCTTGTAGCTCCGACACACAGGGGGTCAATTCTATATCTCGAAACAAAATGAAAATTACAAAAGTGAGCACATTCACTAAGCAATGATCAATGAAATTACAAATATTCTAGTAAATTTGCACACTTTTGTAATTTTTACTTCGTTTCGAGATACAGAAGGTGCTTTCCAATTGCTTAACACATCTTGACACATACGTATACAATATTAGTTTATTGATCACATATATAAAATATCTTGTAAGATAATATACAACTAATAAACTGGTTTTGTGTAACACACAAAACGTAACTGGAAAACCCATTATTATTCAGCTTTTTATGATTATATGTAAACTTAAGGGCACATCCTAAACCTCTAGTAATAAAATCTAGTAAACATTGAAATAAATTTAGTAACATTGAAATAAAAAAACTATTGATATAGGGATTTATCGATTTCCAAAAACGTTGGGAAAATAATCTATTATTTGTACAAAAAGCATCGATTCTCAAATCATCGGTCGATAATTGCCCATCCCTATATAGGAGCGTTCGAGCGTTGAGCGCATGGCACTAAAATATATATTACCTGGAACGTGCGCTACCTCTTCAATATTGAGAGAGAGAGAGATCAGGTTTGTAGGTCTCGAACAGCGCTCCGTCTTGATCTAGTACTGTTTGAACCAAAAGCAGGCCTCTGACACTAGCTATCATATTTTTTGTTACGGCGTGTCTACGTAAGGCTGGCGTCCCGTGGAACGGAAATTCTCATCGGAACGAAACGCGCGCACCAATTACAACCATTCTATTCTATTCGCGTAAAGAATGGAGTAACTGTGATTGGTGCGTGCGTTCCGTTCCGATGAGAATTTCCGTTCCATGGAACGTCAGCCTAATAAAGCCAATCTGCTATGCGGCGCTGGCAACAATCACCATGGATGTGTTCTTTTATTCGTAACAGATATAACACGATGCATCCGATGCATAATTTAAGGTTTGTTCGCGTCGCATGCCCCAACGTGCTTCTAATTGCTCCAACGTACTCTGATTGGTCCGCATGGTGACGTAAACCAATCAGAGTGCGTTGGAGCGAGTAGGAGCACGTTGGGGCATGCGACGTGAACAAACCTTTAATCATTGGCTGCATTCAGCAGACTCAACAGTTGCACAACAGTTGAGTAATTTGTCAATGGCTGCATTCAGCAGACTCAACAGTTGCACAACAGTTGAGTAATTTGTCAATGTAATTGGTCTAGATTTAGGGATCTAATAGCAAGAACCAATAATCGTTGATTGTTCACTGAGCGCTTTTTCTACTGAATGCGCCCAATGTAATTGGTCTAGATTTGCGTAAATCTTGACTGTTCTTTAATTTAAGTTGCAAGCAGAATCGTGCAACTGCTTGCAACTTAAACTGCTTTTAGCATCCCAATCTAAGCGGTTGCCGAAAAATTGAAGCCTGAGTTCCGAATGTGCAGGAACCTTAAGTACACGAATATGGTTCTTTGGTGTACAGAAAGCATGGATGTAGGAATATAAGGATGGAATGTAATCCCGGAGGGTTGAAGCCACAGAGAGAGGAAGACGAGGTAAAAACTGTGCCTGGTTTTGATTGGTTTTACTATGCGCAAGCGTAATAGTACCGTCTTTGCGTCCATAGGTCTGTTCAGCTACACTGTTGTACTGATGCAATAAGTTAGAGTGAGACAAATATGTTTTATTTCACTTTAACTTATTGCACCAGTGTAGCAGTGCAGTTGAAAAGAACATACCATATTATCAAATGATAATGGAAAATCATGTAATACATTTACTGCGAACCATATCTCAAAAATATGTTAAAATTAGGTTGCGACATTATGCGGCTACTATTAAAGATAAATCAAATAGCAACAGACAGTTTTTAAATAAATTAATATTATTTAAGGTAATTAAAATATTTTTATTGTGTTAATTTTTTTTTCATTGTATTATTTTTCATTGTATTTTTTTTATTGTATCAATTTTATTTCATGTATGTTATTTCATAATATACTTATGAGCAGAAATTTGCAAATCGACGCATAAACCATCTTTAAGATATTTTTAAGTTTTTAAGAAATGTCATGATGATCTTTCTTAAAGAATTATTAAATGGCTAATGCCTCGATTTGAGAGCTTCTATTAACTAGGTAGCAACAAAAAAACCGTATATTTTTTCCATTATTTAAGTTGTTTTATTAATACTTTATATTATATTTTTATTCTTACAAATTGCTTTCCATGATTTTATTATTAAATGTTTGCATACAGGGTGCGACCCACAAATGCAAATTTTATTCTACATTTTCGACTGATTTTTACATATAGAATAACTTTCTTGTATATAGAATATTCGTGTTCGTGGTCGAGGATTAACCAAACTCTTCTTTACTCGACAAATCTTTAACCTCGATTTTCTCGAAAACGAAGTTGCAATAAAGAAAATGTTATTTTTTTTTTTTATCTATTTTTGCATAGAATCGTCTCCTATCCACTATGTTATTAATTTTTCACGTATTATTCTGAAATATATGTTGATGTTCTTAATATTTCGTTTATAATTGGCGATACTGCGCATGAGTACAACTCAACCAATCACATTCAGGCACAGTTTTAGAGATACCTCGTCCCTCAAATCGGCTTCACCCCTCTTGCCGATTAACTCAGCTTACACTCTATCCTTATATTCCTACATCTATGGGTTTGTCATATAAAAACAATACATCATATAGTAAATATGTAGTTTTTATTCATTCTTTGTACATATCACATGGTTATTTATATATATATATATTATTAAAATAAATAACATTTACATATGTACATATATAATAATTAATTAATAATATACACATATAATGTATATAAAATAATTAGACCTGTAACAATATAATTTTATTCAGTTATAAAATTGGCCCCAAACATCTCTCTCTTCGCCTTCCTTCTGTTTCATGCATTAGTTCTTCTTGAATATCTTTGAGAATTTGCGGAAGAATTCTGGTCCATTCCAGTAACCTCTATAGAAATATAGACTCTCAAAATATTCACAATAATTTAATGTAAAAGAATGAGTGTCAATAAGTGATGTCCACGTCAGAATTACTTCAAACTGTGTTATTTTACTCCTCTCGATAGAACTCACAACCCACTAGAACCGTTTATTGTTCAAATAATTAGGTGCTGATAATGAGGCAGTCTTAGATCTCAGATTTATGGGATATCACGCATAATTGCAATGTCTGCCTCATTTCATTGTTATCAATGAGCCCCCATTACCATATTTTCTCAAAAACTACTCGTATATAGAGTGCATGAAATAAAACAGCACAGTTTGAAATGACTCTGACGTGAGCCAAAAAACAGTCTTATTGACACTCATCCTTTCGCGTATATATTCTTATAGTATCATCATATTCGCTTCTATTAACTCACCTTAACATCAGATGCCAATATATAAACGGGAAGAAATATTTCTTCAGTAGAAACATAAAGTAATATTCTTTGCCTTGATTTACGGGGAAGGTTTCCAACGGCTGCAAATTGTAGTCGAACTCGGCTAAGATACATTTGTCGTAGCCAGTAACCAGCGGACACGATGCGTAACCGTCGTAAACCATGCTTGTCGGTTTACCAGCCAAATCGTCCAGCATATTTTGATATAGGACTTTTCCTTGCGCGGCTACACAAAGAACGAAAGTTACATAAATTTCCTCGTCTATCTAATGGCCAAAAATTATTTCTGGTTTTTTCTTAAAAGAAAAAAAATGCTGCTGAATTATAGCGCTATCTTACCTATCGCAGCCATCGTTTTCGAATTCGGGGTACTCGTGCAGTCGCCTAATCCAAATATATTCGGGTATTTTGTATGCCGCAGCGTTTTAGGATCGACGCAGAGAAATCCAGCTTCATTAGTTAGCATCGGGTGTTCTTTCAAGACCGCGACAGGTCCCATTGGAGGCGTTACGTGAAGTAATGAGTACTAGTGTAATAATGAAAATATCAATACTTTAAATTGACCGTCAATATTTGCAAATAAATTTCTTATTACTTCTACTTCAGAAGGACAAAACGTACCTCTTGAACTGATATTTCTCCTGGCGAGTTCAATTTCTCAAACGTGGCCTGCCGCTTATCCGGATCTATTTTCAGCAAGCTTGTCTGAAGGTTGACGGTAATATCTCTCTCCGTACAAACAGCCCAAAGGGAATCGGCATATTTTTTAACACCGAAAATAACTGGCAACGCGGTATTATATATGACGTTGATATCATCTCGTACCTTATGCTGAAATATTATCACTTAAATGAGCATTCTTTCCTCAGGTAAATTGTCAAGTAACTTGTAATTTGTCAAATAACTCTATACAACTAGAGCGAGGGAATTAAATCTTACAAGAACTAATTACGGGTATTAGTGCGAAATTAAATTTATATTATAGAAGCATAACATTTGACAGTGTCAAACGCATGTGATCTACCCAGCAAACACTAACAAGAGACATGACAGAACTGTCCCTCACCGATTTTGATGCGCTTTGGATATGTAGAGCATCAAAAAGTAAGAGACTCATATTTTTTTATACCGACTTATCTTGAGGTTTAGGGGTTAAAGCCTCTTGAAAAAAATTTTTTCATTTTTGAAATAGTTCCTAAGATATGAGATATATAAAAAAATGTTTCCTACAAAAGTTTTGCAGTATTTAATACTCTTTGCAACGGCGTATTTCATTTTTTCAAATATCAAATTTTTTACTGCCCCGCACCATCCACTTGTTACTTTCGCAAAATTTTTAAGTTTTTGTATGGACCAAAATTGTAAAACATTTAATATCAAATCCATCCATATATAATAGTAAAATTTGGTTTTACTTTAATCGTTAGAAAACCAAGTAATAACATTATGACATCATACTATCCAAGTAGATGGATACTGTAAATAGATATGTTACTATAGGTAAGGAAATATAATGAAGTGTAGAAAAATTAGACATAGACAATTGCATATATTTAATATATAATGTTTACAATATATAATGTGTGTGTTATTAATATATTAGTCATATAATTAATATAATATTAAAGAAAAATCGATACAAAACTTGTATACATATAGAAAATAAATATGTTAATTTATGACACATATTTGTTGCAATGGTGGTGCTCATAGAAAAAATGTGTGATACGAAGTGATTGTTTGCACCAAGAACAAATAATTACACTGTTCGACAAAAATCGAACTTCTTCTCGTGATATGAATACGAATAGAGTTTTCAAATGTATTTTTGCCTGCTGGACACGAATTCGTCGTCCAAATTTGGCTGTCACGTCATAATTTGGAGAAAAATTGCGTCAAGGCCAAAAAATTGAGTGCAGGAATCTTCTTATCTTGTATTTTACTCTATTTTTCTCAAAATTGTGACGCGATAGCCAAATTTGGACGACGGATTCGGATTTAGCAGGCAAAAATACACAGAAATGACTATTCGCCTTTTTACAAAAAAAAAAAAATTGTTCTGCCCAGTGATATTGATGCCGAGACTGTTTCTGATTGGCCATATGTTAAAAACAAAAAACTATTGGAAAGCGAGACTACATACATTTTCAAGCTGAAAGTTGATACTTTTGCGTGGCACTAACGAAATATAAAAATATTACTGTTTGCGCTACAGCGCCACGAAAACCGTCAAAATTGTCATTTTTTGTCTCTTTGACGTCATTTTTCTCAAAATTATGACGTGATAGCCAAATTTGGACAATAGCTTCGTGTTCAGCAGGCAAAAATATATCGAAAATGACTACTCGTACTCACGTCACGAAAAAAGTTCGATTTTTGTCGAACAGTGTAATTATTTGTTCTTGGTGCAATCACTTTGCATCACATATTTTTTCCATGAGCACCACCTTTGTATCAAATATGTATCATAAATAAAACATATTTATTTTCTGTGTATATGCAAGTTTCGTATCGATTTTTTTTAATATTGTATTATATGATTAATATAATCACACACACACACACACACACACACACACACACACACACACACACACACA